GTCTACCAGACTGAGTGTCCTACGACACGTTCGCGATGCGATGGCTGGAAGCCAAGACTTGCAGAGCGAATATGCAGATGAAAAAGGAAGAGGCAAAGTGGCTTTAAGGTCGGAGACCTGGTTTTATTAAGCTATAAAAACCTGCCTACACATGCAGCCTCTGCTATCTTCCGGACAAAACTTCGTCCACAGTTTATTGGACCGTTTAAGGTTGTGGCCAAGCGGGGCCTAGCGTATACGCTAAATATTCCTGAACGGATGTGCACCCGCCCGGTGCTTTACGTGGGTTTGCTCAAGCCGTATCGAAATCTGGCGCATGTGAACGCGGAAGAGTTGGCGCCTGGGTGACGTCTAAAGGTGCTCGGCCACCCAGAAGTTGAACCAGCAACTGGTTCTGAGCACGGAGTGCAACAATTTTTGTCTTTGTCGACGCAAGGCGCTATCCCGTCACATGAAGTGACGTATTCGTCTGCTAGACGGCTAGGAGCCGCTCCGACAGAGCGCAATAGTCCTCAACGTGAGAATTTCGGTGCACAAAGCGCTCCAGATTATCGAGGTGTTTCGCACAGCGGTAGGCGACCTTGGAGATATGCTCATCAGAGTGCCGATGGCGACGGACCTTGTCCTTTAACACTCGAAGAGCATCGCGAGCCACCGACAGCAATCGATTAAGTCGTCATCGCTCGCCACCGACTCTTCTCGGTGATAATGGTCGCGTTCATCATCCCGTAGAACGTCTTGTGGGTCGACATCGTCGACGGGGTCTAACCAAGATTTTGTGAAGTGGTGGGGATACCCAAGCTCCGAGAACACGTGGGAGTTTAAGGTGCCACTTCGGCAAGACTGCTCAGACGTCGTTGACGCTTATAATTGGAATGATTATGACGCTTCCCGTCGTCGTGGACCCCGCGCTTCTCGGCAGTAGCCCGCTAAGTCGAAGGTTCACGAGCTGAGCTCAAGCTATGATCCTGAGCTGCTGTGGCCGTAGACTCACCCGTGTGAGAAACTACAGAGCTCGTGGGAGCGCGATGGATGATTTCATGTGTCGAAGGGTGACAATACGCGGAAAGTCGGCGTTGTGCCTTGAGTTTGACAAGCTCAATTTGGAGATGGCGCTCTATGCGCACGTCCTTTTTCTTGTGGCTTCGCTGTAAGGTGCACCCATCGTTCAAAGAGCTCTTCATTAACTGCAGCGTTTTCGCCAGGGGTGAGCACCACAGGAATAGGCGGTATTGCGGGTGCAGGAGCGCCTCCTTTTTGAGCTCAAAGTCGAGCGCGTTACCTATCCATTAAGATCTCTTGGGGTACCAAGAATCAGGCTCGGAGAGCTTTCTGCATCAAGCTCAGCTTGTGTAGTGGTCCGGGGCTCGACTACGTAGATGCCTGACGATCGAGTGATCACATCTTTCGCTTCAGTAGCTGGAATCTCCGAACAGAAGTTGTACTCCGCACGAGGATTAAAGACCTAACGTGGATACTAGCGCAGGATAGCTGCCCTGTGGGCAGCCTCCGATTGCTGCTCCTGTGCCTCGTCGGGGTGTTTGGTAATAATACCATTTTTTGTGTAAGCCGAGAGGCCGAGAAGTCGGGGAACGTACATGGCGCCCGCAGGGATTCAGCTAGGCTCACCAAGCTTCGTTAACGCGATTCATCTTCTCCGTCATCCGATGCTGGGAAGACACGTAGTCGACTTCATTCAATTGCTCGGCGAGAAAACCGTCGCCTGGAGCGGGCGCGGTGTGTTGCGCCCAATTACCGAGGTCTTAGGATGTGCTTCCCGTGAAGCCGCGGACGTACTGTCCTGAGATGCACCCTGTGCAGAAGTAGAAGGACTTTGCCCGTAGGCGCCCTTGCTATCAGTTAGGCTGGATGTTTTGCGTGTCGTAGACACAGTGCTCATAGAGTGGAAAAGTTTCAAAGTTGTTATTAAAAAGCGTTAAGGTGTCTCAGACACGCGAGCCTCGTATGAGGCGACTGTTAAATGTGAATTGGGGATATTCACAATTTTAATGGGGGGTGTAACGGGGTTACACGTGCTCTTGTGAGAAAGGGCGGGTCGCAAAATATTGTGCGGCCGTACATTGGTGTTTATTGCACATTAGTGTAATAACACAATGGTGTGGCTACACCGTATCGAAAAGCCATCACGTAGCAGGATTGCGTGTAGTAATGCGTATTACTATATTAATTAGGTTTTGCTACATTAATGCAGAAAACCTCGAGTTTTAGATATTGGCGGCTCTGCCGCAACTCAAACAATTTAATGCAGTTTTCGTTCTTGAACAGCAGTGTTCGTTTGCCTTGGTAAGACTTTAGTACTTAGAAGTAGCGGATTGTGATCCGCTGCACTTGTACTGGCTCTTGGAAAGAACGTATGGTCGGTGACCTTAGCTTAGCTCACATTAAGCAAAGAGCTACGGCAGCACCGCTGCATGTGGTATCTTAGACACGCGAGCCTCGTTTGAATGGACAGTAATTTGTACTGTAGATGCTCATAATCTTGGTGGGGAGTGTATGACGGGGTTTTACGTGCCCTTATATGAATGGCGTGGGTCACATAATATGGTACACCACACCATGGTGTGGCTACACTTAAACGAGGAGTCAGTACATGGCTGGAACAGCCAGTCGTTTTACTATATATACAGAAAACCCTATATATTTGGCTTTGCCACAAATGAAAACCGAGAAATACAATTCACTTTTAAACGGAAGAGTTGATTAGCCTTGACTTAAGGTTGTAATTACTCTTGGAGTAAGTGGATTGCGATCTGCACACTCTAAGTATAGAACGAAGGTCGCCGACCTTAACCCAGCTTCCTCTAAGCGAATGAGCTACGGCAGCCCCGCTGCGTTTACTCTCGGCTTATGTGTACAAAGGGTCGAGCTCGGAAAGGCAGACGAAGGGCCAAAACGTCAAATTCTAGTATGATCTTCTGCGCCTACTAAATAAAAACATTCCTGTTTCGCACGGCAGACGACGAACCGATCACGGAAAAACATCAAGTCTCAATATGACCGTCCGCGGCTACTGAGTTCTTTTATATCTCATGGAAGTATCCATGTTTGGGTAAGATTAGGTGGTCTGAGTAGAACCAGATATGAACCTTTCTTCGGAAGTGGCTTTGCGATCTCGTCTAAATCATCGAGATGAACCCCAATACGCGTGGCATGTTCGATGAGATCATGATCAGATGTGATAGGCTTGACGAGTTCCATAATCATTTTTTTTGAAAAAGTGTATTACATGCCATGTAAGATCTAAACGATGTCTGATACCCAACCTTTCGACCAATACCTTTACCAGAGTTCCGGAGATTGAAGTCAAGCGTAACCAGGGTTCATACCAAAACGGTGTTATTACTTGATAGGAATGGAGATTTGCTTCTGTAACGGGGTTACACGTACCCTGGTATCAAAGGGTGGGTCACAAGAGATGGTGTGACCACACAATGGTGTAGATAAACCTTAACAAGAAGCGGTTATGCATTTTAATTAGGTTTTATTTTTTGATCAGGAAAATGTATAGATATAGATATAGGTAGCTCTGCCGCAAATAAAACAAAAGAGATACAATCTGGATTTTGAACGGAAGTGTTTATTTACCTTGAACTAACGTTGTGGGTACTATTGATGCTAGCGGATTGCGATCCACTTCACTCGTCTTGGTTCTAGTATAGAACGTGAGATCGGTGACCTTGGCTTTGCCCCCTTTGAGCAAAGAGCTACGACTGCCTTGGTAGCAATAGTAGGCAATCTACACCTGAGTCGTTACGGCTGATCATCTATGAGGATGGAGCGATTCTTATATTCGCCCTAGGGAATGCATGACGGGCTGTGAGCTGATGTCTCTGCTTGGCCCTGAAGGTGTACAACACCTCGCTCCACAAGAGCCTGAAGCGATAAACGCGCGCCTAAAGGCGTTTTCGAACTATGAAAACGCCCCACTGTAGCACCTAGAGCAGAAGACGTCGGCGTCGACTGCGTCCATGACGCCACCGTGAACGACGGATGACTCCTCTCGGCCGAGGCCGCTCGTTGTGAGCGTTAAGACCTTCAGAGGTAAGGATGGAGCTAATCTCCTGCTCTGGATGAGGGAGGTCGAGATGGCTATGGCGTCCGCCAAGTTCCAGACTCAGCAATAGTGCGTTGCGCTAGCTATCTCCAAGTTCGGTGGTCGAGCGCGTTAATGGGCACTGAGTGCGGTACTTCAGATGAATTTGCGTTTCCCTCCTGAACAAAGCTGAAGCTACAGCTTTTCAGAGTGTTCTCGCCACCTACCAGGCATATTGTGTGTGATCGCATTTTCTTTGTCGCCAGACAGGCCAAGACGAAATTGGTGGACTTCGTTCATAAGCTGAATACTTTCATTGCCAGGATGGCAATCGATCCTCTCCCCGAGGCGGTCACAGTGACCGTCTTTATGGAGGGTTCCGAGTGCATCTGTCTTCTTTTGCAAAACTGATAAATGTAGCATTGAATGCCGGATTTTTCTTTAAGTCGGCGCGACTTTGTTAGAGTACACACCCTACTAGCTCGTCGTGCGGGCCTGAGCCGATGGATCTCAGCTATGCTGAGAAAGAGGAGACAGAGCTCCAACCTACTGGGTAGCGTTCAAACACTCGACGGTGTTTTGTCTGTGGAGACACCCGTCGCTTTTGGACTGGTTGTCACTGCGCAGGGCTCGTCAAGGTTCATCGAATCGTTTCCACTTCTCATCAGTCTTCTGTTTTATCGCGGTAAAACGAATGGGGAAGAACTGAGTTCTGTTGAGCATCAAAGTGGACGAGTTCAGCAGGTCCCAGCCCAGAAAAGTTCCGTGCTTTTGAACACGGAACGTGTATGCAAGCCGGGCTTGCTGGTCGTGAATGCGACGGTGAAGAGCTATGAGATGCCATGGAAGATTCTGATCGACTCCAAAGCGTCGAATAATAATTCTCGACGCTCCACTATTGAAGGAAGTCAGCTGTATGCTGAGTCGCTGAAAGCGCGGTTGAGAGACAACGGCACTGTTCGCTTAGCGACGGGGAATGTGTGCGGGTGTCGAGAGTCCCTGTGGACCTCGGTGTCAAGTTTCTTGACTTTGATAGCGTGGAACACCGTTTGGTCTTGGGCTTGGATTCGAGGTATGACATCATCATTGGTATGGCATGGTTGGAACACCATGAACCATGTATCGATTGGAGGTTGAAGCCTTGGGCGCTACGCGCACGTCCCCTGGTGGAGGTTTGATAAGTCATGAATTCAACACTGCGAAGAGATAGAAAAACTATTTTCTCGGGCACTGAACCAGCACGGTCATCGTGCTAGAGATCGGAGAATCCTAGTTATCGAACATCGAAGGTGACTTGAACAATAGTCCCGAGCACGGCTCGCGCGCTGATCGTGGAGTGGCACGTAATACACTGAGCAATGCTTCAGTATCGGAGCAGTCGCTGCATACCATACGTGGCATGGTCGGTTGAGGTCCGAGGCATCAAGGGTGAGGTCCCAGCGATGCACGTGGAGTAGCACGTGATCCACTGAACTCTCCATGCCACGAGTGGTATGGTTGGACGAGGTCAGATGCATCATGGGCAGGCTCTCGGATGCGCGTGGAGTGGCACGTTATCCACTGGAAAAATTCTGCGGAACAAGTAGCTCCTCGTCGGATGTTGTTAAAAACAGCAAGGCTCCGATGGTGGGGACACTGGACGACGCTGAGTGCGTGTTCCCACTGGTCTCAACGAGACGTAAACCTTTTGTAGCGAGGAGACGGCGATGCCGCATGTTATCGGCAAGATGCAAGGCGTCAACACTGACATAGGGTGTGTCTACCAACGCACAGCTATATACCCTCGTCAACGGTATGACGGATGTGGAGGACAGACACGTCACCCTT